AAGAAACAGAGATTTAGAGTTGACTGTCACTTTACCAGCGGAGAAAGAGGTGGTTTCTTAAATTTTTGTTATATTTTTGTATGCAGCCCAGGCAAATTGACGAAAAACTCTTGAATTACATTCCATATATCTAAAGACTGAATCAGACCCGTACTACAATAGAGAAAAAAAAATTTTTAAATACATTTACAAACTTAACATACAAAATAAAATTAGAGTAAGAATCTTACTACACACCTAATATTATTGTGTAAAATACTATAAGACTTGAAAACCCAAATAGCCTGTACAAAGAATTTATATACTAGCAAAAAATTAAAGTTAAACAATTCCTCACTTTTCTTACATTCTATTTTATGTATATCATTAAGAAATATCGTTTCGCTATATAAACATGCTCATATTATTTTACATTATTTAAACATTGATACATCAAGTTTATTTGTATGTAATAGGTTATGTAAAATGTTTTAAAACGCTCTTCAATCCTCCTTTTTTGTATCCCATAAACAGTAATTGTGAATTAGATTGTATACTTATTGCTTTACAAAGGTTTACCACAGCACGGTTACTCAAGATCTGGAGTTCAGATTTCACACGAAAATTTTAGTTTATAAAAATGTTAGCGAAAATTCAAGTATCTATTTTCTTTACGCTTGGAGTACAATATTAAACTATTGTTATTTTCATTGAAGCACTACTTTTAAATCAAGCTATGTTAATGATGTCTTATCGTGACACAGTGATAGCACCAGCAATCTTTTTACAAAAGAATGAAAATAAAATCACTTTATTTTTATATTTTATGAATCAGCAATGAAGAAGTATCGAAATCAGAGCTCTTCATAGTACCTCTTTATAGTTAAATTATTCAGAATTTTTTAATAATAAAAGTATTTTGAATCAATTGAAGTTTTTTTTATTTATGCATGTGAACATACGTTGAGGACGTATATACACATTTCATAAACTGAACATTTCTTTTATGTACCCTATTCAATTTTCTAAAATTTTAAACCCAAACATAATAGGACGTCAGGTGTCAGGCACCAGTTAAAAAAGAGACATAATGTATATGTGCTGATATACACGCATTCTATTAGTTCAGGACCTGGTATCTCAGAACCCGTGAAAAAAAGCTGAAAGATCTACGAAATAAGTTGAAATTTTTATTTTTTATTTTTTTATTTTTTATTTATTTATTTATTTTTTTCGTATTTTGATATAAGGCGCTAAGACTTTTTAGTAACTAAAAAATAGTAAGAACAGCATTTTGAAGTGTTGCAACAACTTCGTTTTTTTGTGAACTTAAAAAACAAATTTTTAACATTTTAGTTTATTCAAGAAAGCTAATGTTAATCCACACGAGTTTACTAATACCTCGCTGTATACAATAAATTTTATTAAATAGAATTTATTTGTTATTAATAAGGATACTTTTTAAACAGACACGGCACCTGACATGTTTTTTTTTTTTGTATAGTAAACAAGAGTCTGAAAGATCATTAAAAAAGCACTTATTATTTGAAACTCTTTATTTTGATTTCATCGTGATTGCAATTTCGTAGGATTTTTTAAATTATTATTCATATTATTACTCTTCATCCTCACAGGATAGTTTTGGAGACCTCAAATGGAGGAGTAATTCACTTTTCAGAATGTCCAAAAAAAGATATCGTAACATTTACAAATATAAATACCCGTCTTAAATCTTACTTCTTAAAACTTGGTCACGTACAATAAATGTGTGTAATAATTAGTTATGAAAACGAATTTTCTTACATTTTCTTGTGTTATAAGGAATTAATTTTGAACAATATTATTAATAATACACGTATATTACAAATTATATAGTAAATGTAATATATAATACAATGTTAATATCTCAGTAGCCGACAATATCCTAATATATGATCATTCTGGTTACTTTAACAATATACATTTCTAAAATAAACGAGCAAAGGTTGTATACAAAATATTTCATTTTACTATTAGAAATAAAGCAAAGATTTTAATGATTATATAATCATACTAAACTCCCGAAACCACTTTGCTCATGTATTTATAACATTAAATTAATCAAACTCCAATTCCTTTACTGGATTATTTGAGCATGATTCAATGATTTTTTTGCGCACGCACGCGCGCGTATGTGTGTATATAATTAGTGATTAATTCAAGGTTTTAATGGTTTACAAGTAGGTAAGTGATCGACCATTGGGAAATCGATCTTACCGAAAATTTTAAACGTATTAGTTACTGCTTGTATGTAACACAACATACCTATATGTTTCTTGTCATCACCATATGAATATATAGATAGAAATAATTGAAATAATATTTTTACTTTTATTCAGTGGCATGTCAAGTATTTTGAAGTCAATTTAATTGTGTAATACAGTATTATTGTTCCAATTTTATGATTCATTTACTTAAGTAATTTGAACCACACATAAAATATAATATAATGATATTATAAATAATACGGAACATATCCTACATGCCCAATGGGAAAAGCTTTGTCTAAAAATAGAAGGGGAGATAATGCGTGGTTGAGAGAGAGAGAGAGAGAGAGAGAGAGAGAGAGAGGAAGAAAGAGTGAGGTATTGCTAAGACATTTTTTCTCTTCCACACATTTTCTTGTATCTCTTCCTCTTTCTCTCTCTTTAGTTATATTTTTAAATGCATGACATTATTATTAATTTATTCAAATTTTTAGAACGATACTGTATTAAGAAATAGAGATCCCCTAGTAAACAATAGTGTATTACACAACTAGGTTCTAAAAGTCTCCAATTAGATGTGTATTGACGTAATAAATTTATGAACGATACGAGGCTTCTTCACTTTTAGCCATGGAGTGTGAAACTATACTTTGTTTGTTTCCAACTAGGCATAAACCTATGTTATGGTTAGAGAGAGAAGCAAAGAAATCGAAGGTCTTTAGAAAAATCTTTCTTTTTAATTTCTACAAGTGCTACCCTTGGTAGCTGTTTCATGTTCGGTTTATTCTTTCTATGTTTACAATAAAATCTACTACACAGGAAGAACCGAGCTAGTACACCAAATACACACGAAGATACTGTTTTTTTCTTAGTTAATATTAACTATAATTTATTGAATAGTTATCAAATTCCCCTAGTAACTGTCATAACTATCCAACTTTCTTATGCCTAGTAAAAGTAGATTTTTGTGTGTACTATCGTCTGATTATCCAAAATGATGGTGAATTTTTGGCACATGCATGATTAAATGTATTCATCATCTATGGTGTTAATTTAATATGAGTAAGTAATATGTATTTAATTCTATTGAGTCCGTTAAGTGTAGACTGTTTAAAAATATTAGGTTGGTGTCATGTGTTGCAAAATTCATACGTGCCACATAAGAACGTCAATCATTTCAGCTTTTCCCTAAGCATTCAGTTTCTGTTTGGCAATTTCACGCTAGATGCGTCAAATATAATAATAGTTAGTAAGAGAGAAATGGTGGTGTTATTTTGTCTTTGTTGTATTAATTATAAATTATCCCGTGACCTAACGTAGACCTATCCTTAACGGGCGGAGAGCCTATAATATATGTCGCGCACGCCAGTGTTTAGGTTATCGACTGATCAATTGATAAAATATCTAAAATTCCATGTTGCCTTAAATTAAAAATTGTGACTTTGAATTACAAGTTCATTATATTTCGTTTGAACTACGTGTGTGTTACTTTGATGTGTTGATAATAACGTTGTTGTCTTCTTAAAGGAAATTCGGTATGTACTGAATGATAATGAATATATTACATCACACATCAGCTAGTGAAACAGATTAGTCGATAACGAGGTATTTGTTGCACGAACTGGTCTTGTATCTTTAGTCGATAAAAAAAGGTTGCGTGCTGCGTACATAATTTTTAGAATATCCTCTAAATGTAAAAAGTACTACAAGTTCTTAGTTCAAACAATAAATAAGGTGTTATTTTGCAAGCATTTATAATGAATTCCATATCTTAAAATCAACCAATTCGAACCCATTCGAAGTTAACATGCCCTACTTTTTGGCTTCCATTATTGGGATCTAACCTTTTTCTGATGGGAAGAAAGTGTATTCCGTGTTGGCCCCTGTTTAGTATTATTAGTACAACTACAAATAACAAAAATAACAGTCATTGACCGCCAAATTGGACAAAACCATGTTCTCACGGTAAATCCTGTGGGTCTAGTAGTTTTTTTAGTACGCAAATTCTATCTCTATATTCCTAAATTTTTCAGAACTTATTTCTACAAAATTGCTCTCCGTGCATAAAATTTATCTCAGTATATAAAAACGGTGTTCACAATAATTATGTGATTTTTTTTATCTCTCTTGATTTTTAAACATAAAATTTCATTAGTAGAAAATACTAAATGAAATAAAGGTGATGTATAACACTAAATTTTCTGAACAATAATTTAACGGACGAAAGTATTTAGTATGGGATTTGACAAAGTAAAAAGTATCATTAAAAATCGTTGATCTTCAATATAGCAGATCTTACTAGTTGACAAAGAGAAGGAGGAGGACCCAAATGTAAGGAAAATCTCGCAAGTTATTATTCGAGATCTATTTGTTTGCTGGAAACGTCATTTCTTGAGTTTAGAGATTAAGAGAGCAAATGACGCAGCTCTGAGTGAGGCAGTGGCTGTGCATATGATGATGATGGATTTGTTGCTGGTGCTGCTGTTGTTGTTGTTGTTGTTGTTGTTGCTGCTGCTGTTGCTGATGCTGCTGTTGCAGGTGATCATGATATTGGTGGTGGTGATGAGAATGCACCAGAGCCGATGGGGATGGCTGAGTCTGAGTCATGGGTGCGTAAAGCCAGCTAGGACTACTAGGCCATATGGCTGGTGGGCCCGGCGTAGGGTCCAGCATGGCTGCCGATCCATTGCCGATATCGGCAAAAGCGGTATTACTGTTAATACAGCGGTTGCTACTATTGCTGTTGCTACCAGCAACGTTACTGCCTGATGTCCGATTGGAAGATGAGCCGCCAGCCTGCGAGGATCCTCCGCCACCCTCTACTCACATCACCTGCAAAATTCATAATAGATTCTTATTGGATATTACATTAGAGTTCATCGATTTTTCAGCACATTCATTAGTAGTTCAATCCCCTAAGTTATCTTTCAATGCAGAAAAAAATAAATGTTGTACATTAACATACTAGAAGAACATAGAATTTTTTCAATTTTTTTTATCAGCCGTATTTTCAAGAAAAATACTCCCAAAATTGCATGATTTAACAATGCTCTTATGGGCGAAAGCGATTATTCAGCCTTTGTTGCACAAATTTCGAGGCTAAAGATTTACTCATGATAAGAAATCAGTAGACAGTGGGTGCTTGGACACCCAAGTATTAAGTAATACTTCTATAAAATTATAAGGCAAATAATATAATTAAATTAAATATAAGTATACTGCGTGTGAAACGATATTGTGTACAAAGGTGGTGCCATTATCGTTGGAATGAGTATACCTACGTTAGTTGGGTGTGGTTTCAATAAATATGTTAATATCTAATAACAGAACAATTATAAACGAAATTTTTTGTCACAATACACTATAAACAATATGGCAGCTGGCCAGTACAAGACTGTGCTCTTTCATTGAATCTTCCGATGGTTTTAAAACAACTTCCTAAGAAAATAAGAAATACCCTTATAAAATAGCAGATCGTTCAACTGTACTATTTTTCACATGTTTAATTTAAAAACTTTGTAATTTAACATGTAACCATAAGCAAAAATCACTTAAAATTGGATTTATAAGATCTATTTAAAGCTCCCATTTTTTGTTTGTATGAAAGATTACTATTCGATAAACCTGTTTCATTTTCAAATAGATCTATAAATTTTTTTTTTTTTTTTTTTCTAATAACACAAAAAAGAGGGGGTCAAGTATGCGTAAAAGCGTGTATGTAAGTTCATCCTTATGAGAAAAATAAAAGAAACAAACCAGGGGGTATAAATAGGTCATGGGACCCACGGTAAGAACGAAGTTCTTTAAACATCAGATGAGTATAAGGACACACAATTTCTCAGGTTACAAGGGGATCGCGAGACCCATAGGAAGAACGAAGGTCAATAAAAATAAGTACTGCATTCGTGTAGTTCACTGAAACAAAAACTTGAAGAACGAATAAAAAAAAAAGAGAAAATTTAGTTCAGTACTCACGATGGTTGAACTTCGTGAGTACGTCATGCATAAATACAGAACATTGTGAGTACTGAACTCAATTTTAAACATTTTTTTTGTTCGTTCTTCAAGTTTTTGTTTTAGTGAACTACATTAATGCAGTACTAATTTTCATAGAGCTTCGTTCTTTCTATGGGTCTCGCGATCCCCTTGTTACCTGAGAAATTGTGTGTCTTTATACTCATCTGATGTTTAAAGAACTTTGTTCTTACCGTGGGTTCCATGACCCATTTATACTCCCTGGTTTGTTTCTTTTAGTTTTTTTTTAATTTTTTTTCATTCCAATGTATTTATTCGTCTTTTGTAATTTCATTTCATTTTATTTTCATACTTCATTTCATTAATTTTTTTTTTCACTTATTTTTTTGCAAATTTTATAGCCCATTAATACAATTTTTGTTTTATTTTTATATAATTACTCAATGACATTGTGGCACTATTTAATTATCAAGTTAAAGATACGTTCCCATAAAAACCATTAAAATGATATGAAACTTGAAATTTATCTATATAATGATCTTACACATAATTTTTCTATGATTTATTTAATGAATTACTTTATTTATGTAATTATGTGATATTGTAACATAATTT